TATTCTTAGTAAATACAAATGTTTTAATAAAAGCCATACGGAAGGACGACCAATCACAAGGACGACTTCACTGCTTCGCCCTGAATACCAATGGCGTTCAGCACCAATCAGATTAATTTTCGCTGTTTGGAAATCTGGCCAATTCTGAAGTGTAGCGGTAGTTTCCAACTGCTATAACCATAATTGAAGAGTGGAAAGACCAAAGGGGGTAAGTGCCAAATTAATTTTTTCGAGATCAATGAGAAAAACACAGTAGAACTGAAACTAATAATTTTTTAAAATATCTTTCAAAATACATATAATATACATAAACTATAGACGCTTTCGCTTGGCACTTAACGCTTGGTAACATTTGTTAGGACATGCAACATAGTATTTATTGCGTTTCTAATTTAATAACTTAATATTGAAAAATTTGGCATTTACCCCCTTTGGTATTTCCCACTTTTCAATTTAGCTTTACTTGGCTCTTCCTCAACACTGAATGTTTCTATAGTTTTCGAAAGATCTGGCATTACGTTATAAATTCGAACTGTAGATTCTTGATTGGGCACATGTAATGGCTGCTGCTGTTGTATTTGTAACATTTGCAACATCTGAGTATTTTGTTGCAATAACGTTGTTATCGTATTCATAAATTGATTAACATTAGCATTTCTGGTTGGATTTTCTTCAGCTCTATTTTGCACAAATCTTTTGAAATCATCAGCAGAAAAATGGCGACTCTGGTTTTCGTCTTGATCCTCCATTTTTATTTTACTTTTATTGCCGGTAATATTTAAACTCTAGATGTAGCTTATTTATTCTTCTTTCACTTGGGGACTGCGCCGATTTAACCCCACATCTGAAGTTATAATAGGGGGAGCTACAATTTTAACGACTTTTCTTAATAAAACGACTTCAATAAATTTACTACGTACTATTATCTTCTTTTAGTCCGCTTTGATATTGCTTCGATGCGCGCGCGTTTATACGCCTCTCAGTGTTACACTCTTATATTCCGTGTTGTTTATTTGTTTGTTATTTGTAGTGAATAATATATAGTTTTGAAAGGTAAGAAATCATATTTTTATCCAGTAAATAGTTAATATATTGCTATTGAATAGTTGGAAGTGCTGCCAGCTCGTTTTCAGTGGCTGCAGTTGTGTAGAAATATTTTTATGTCCAAGCTTCCTAGTATCTTGATCATATTAGTGGCTATTCAAAAGGGTTAACATTTTCCTTTTGTTTTACAATTTTTATCAGGCGATAACACCGCACGCCGCGCCGGTCAATATTCGGAGCGGCATTGCGCTGGCCAAAATTCGGAGCAGCATTGCGCCGCCCATCTAGAGGACCGGCGCCGCTCACTTTGGAGGCCAAAGCGATCAGGCCGCACCGCACCGCGCCGTCCGTAAATTTAGGCCGCGCCGCCAGTTTGAGCAGCGCCGATCCGAATTTTGCCGGCCCCCGCTGAGAATCAACCCCTAGCTATTCTCATTCCTTTATTTTATTCCAGAAAATGAACATGCAGACCATGGAAGAGCTTGCTGGATTGGAACCGCCCGATACGAGAGATCAGGCGATTTTTGCTCGAATAGTTAAACTCGCTAACAAACATCTACCGGAGGGTTGGAAACAGTGGAAAATCAATTCGTTTGATAGAGAAAGTCTTCTAGGAAAGGACTATGACCCCCACGTTCTTAACAAGATTAGATTCGCACTTCCCACGGTAGAAATGGTACAAGCCTTTAACCCTGAAGCTACACACATTTCAGAGAAGAGGTACAGAGAGATAAAGTTAAACATGCTTAAATGGCCATTTTGTATTGGCCTTATTATTAGCCCATCAGGCCTGGCTTCCCGAGTGACGGGATCTACTGCACAAAATGAGTTGGTAGTAGCGGCTGTTAGTAATTTAAGGCATCTGATGGTAGGCCAGAAGGAAGCTTCTCGGCAGCTCTCAAATGATGTAGAAAACAATGACGAGGACAATGTGAGCTTAAGGTCCAGGGTATCGAAGAATACGGATCGAAGCCGGAGTATTGCGTCTGAGGAGCCCGAGCAGAGCCGGATTGACAAGTTAGAAAAAACTACCGAGGAATTGAAAAACATGCTTCATTCGTTTATGGATTCCTTTGGCGGTCATTTGAGAGGATCTATACATGGGTCCACACATCTAACAGAAATTGATCGTTTAGAAACCTCGTCTATGCCTGAGAAATCAGATCAAGATGAGTCGGATGAGGATCAATATTCAAAAAAGTTTCCTCCCATGTTGGATTTAGATCTGGAAGAACAGATTGAAGAGGACTTTCCTTTTGATTTCGCTCCTCGAACAAGGGAACAGGGGCCGTCTATTCCTTCAGCAAAGCCTCACATTGAGGCGCAAGGCATTGATTGCTTAAGACTAGGGAAGACGTCATTTAATCGGGTCAGATAGGCCGACATCCAGAAGAAGCTCCAAGCTTCACCTGTGTTTAGTGCTCTCAGGGTAAACAACCAGTTGTCACACAGAGTATCACCCAATATGTTCTTTGATCAGTTATCAAAGATGGATTTAACATTGGGGACTATTCTTCATGGCTTCTTGTTGCAGAGAGATTCTTTTGTCGAAGCTCTAGAAAGATTATTGAAAAGCACCCTTCTATTAAGAGAGATGTGCAAGAGTTCTTGGTTGGACCGGAATCACAGTTCCGACAGTATTTTGATGATATATTGCAGTACGTTTCAGGTAGACGGTCGGAGATAATTGATCAGAGAAGAAAATATTTGATGCAGAAGAATTATCAGATTAGCATCCCCCTTGAAAATATTCCTCAATTCACAACCCATCTATTGGAAGAGTAACCCCCCCCCCGGGGGGGGGGTGGATTTTGTTTGGTTAGGGAATATAAAAAGGGGAGGGGATCGGATCTGGCAGATCCTATGGAAAAAACCGATCGAGATCTCCACAAAGGAACAGACACGACAAGAAAACAAGGAAACACGCACAAAGGACTTATGCCAGCAAATGGAAATAAAGGTAAGCACAAATTATGCGGGTCGTCTCTCTATGTTTTATAAGGAATTGGCAAATATATGGAACCTGTAATAAACTGGGTCAAGCAGCTACACAACCTTTTTTTAGAAATCCAACTCAAATAAATATTCCTTGGGTTGGATTTCGTTTGGTTAGGGAATATAAAAAGGGGAGGGGATCGGATCTGGCAGATCCTATGGAAAAAACCGATCGAGATCTCCAGAAAGGAACAGACACGACAAGAAAACAAGGAAACACGCACAAAGGACTTATGCCAGTAAATGGAAATAAAGGTAAGCACAAATTATGCGGGTCGTCTCTCTATGTTTTATAAGGAATTGGCAAATATATAACAGAACCTATAATAAACTGGGTCAAGCAGCTACACATACCTTTTTTTAGAAATCCAACTCAAATAAATATTCCTTTGACCACTATAGATTGCTCTCTACTTCCTTCTTATGAGGAATGCATTAGCAACCGGAGTAATAAGTGGATGCCGACACGAAAAAGGACACTTTTTATCTCCATACTTTTTGTGGCACAAACCTGATAAAAATTATAGTTTTTTTCTTAACCTAAAAGAACTTAACAAACATACTGAGGCACCCTATTTTAAAATTGAGGACCAAAGAACTGTAACAAAATTGTTATATAACTTAGATAGACTACTCTTAGCCCATAGACTTATCATAGGCAAGGCAAACATGCAATTATAAATCGATCATTTTTTGATAATTGCTGAAACAATATAAATATGCTGAGTCTACAATCAAGTTACGGACTTTTTAGGGTTTATTATTAATAAAGGAAAGAGTGTACTTATTCCTAACAATATTTGCACCTTGCAATATTAACAGCAATAATAACTATAATAAATAAATAACAATATTTGCAGCAATTCGCATCCTTTACTATCTCTCACGAAAAGTGACCAACAGGGGAGTCCGAGGTGGGTTAGCTTGTATCGTTCATATCGTGTTAGCTATTGTTAAACGAGTAATATACAATATTTGCACCTATTTAGGTTTTGAATACACACTGTGAATATGACAATATATCTATCTAAGTCAAAGAAAGAAAGCATATTATGTAACTTAAAAAATCTTCTGTGTAAGAAACATTGTACCATTAAAGAGTCTGCTCGACTCATTGACTGCTTGGTTGCTGCATGCCCTGCTGTGCAGTAGAGCTGGTTTTACATTAAAAACCTGGAAAGAATTAAATGCCAGGCCTTAAAAAGTAGTGCTGTACATGAGATCCGGATCTGATCTGGATTTTTTAAAGTGTACAATACGGAACCGGATCGATCCGGGTATAAATATTCGGATTTAACCCTAGCCGTACCAAAATAATTTTAAAATTTTGTTTTCCAAAACAGGGTCAAAATTGACCCAGACATATTTTTTGTTTTTTAATAGAATGCTTTGGGAATGATAAAAAAAATATTTTTTTATATTTGCTTCACTTTTATTACAAAAATAAACAACAAAAAAATATAATATAAAATCACTGCATAGGACATAAATCAAGCTAAATACTAATTTATTTTTATTTTGATAATAAGTCAATAACTACACTTTTCTTATTCTCCATCTTCATCTTTTGAACAACAAGAACAAACTACTGCTTTTTGAATTTTGATTTCTGCGTGTAAGGGACAAACATATTTGTGGCACTTGTCACATTTTGTGGAATATTTGTTATCGTTTCCACGGCACTGGAAGCATCGACTCCTTTTGGCGCCTATGTTGGGCGTTGGTAGCTTCTTTTTTATTGAAACTCCTGTACTTTCAATAGCATGACATACAGTTGCGGAAAACCCTCTACCATCCTCATGAATTTGTTCTGCGCGTCGTACAATATGGTTATGAGTCAACATATCACCTAGTTCTTCCAAAAAAAGTTTCCTTCTGACTTTTAGGTTACCATTAGAACTCTTCCATTGTGGATTTTTCAGAATCCAGATGACGAAGGCATTATATGACGCTATGTCAAGTCAATTATAAAATAAACGTAAAGGCCATCTTCTACTGATCCTTTTGGAACTGTATTCACGTACAATTTTATCCAAGCAATCTACGCCACTTTTTGTCTCATTATAAGAAGTTATTATGCTAGGCTTGAATTTCAGATCTTCTCCGGCGATATCGTGTTCATGATGCATTGAAGATAGAAGTACAACAAATTTATTGCGCTTCGTAACGTAGGACACCAAGGTAAGATTCCGTGTAAAAAGGAACTGTGAAGAATACGTAGCTCTTTCGCGAATATCTAATAAGCTCTTCGGCAAGTCTTTGCGAGTTTTGCGGATTGTGCCAACAATTGTTAGATTCTGGGACAAGAGTTCTTCTGCTAAGGTTATGTCGGTGAAAAAATTATCAGTTGTTATATTTCGTCCTCTACCATACCAGTGGCTTGCTAAAGTTTTTACAACTCGAGGACCTTGATTCTTTTCTGCTATGCCATTCAATTTTCCTAAATACACTTCAAAATTGCAACAATAGTAATTGCCTGGTTTACTTGGTATATAAACTTTGAATGAGCAACGACCTCGGAAAGTTACCAACTGCTCATCAATAGTCCCAAAAGCTGAAGGTTTGTAAGATTCTCTGCAATTCTTAGCAAATATGTCAGTAATCTCACGAATCGGGGCAAGCTTATCTTGTTCCTTTCTCTCGGCTCTTGTAGACAAATCATCAAAACGAAGGTGGCGTAAGATGTCAGAAAATCGATTTCTGGACATAGTGGCCTGATAAATTGGCCTGGTAAAAGCATTGTTTGTAGTCGACCATAAATTGCGTACACTTTCTTTTGCTTCACGGAATCTACCAGCAAGAATAAGGACTCCAAGAAAGGCAAGCATTTCTGTAGTGTCTACTTCAATCCATGTCTCCAACTTGTCTTCATGGCATTCATTATAAGTCTTTATAAAATCGTTAGCTTTTTTGTTTGTATATTTTATGATAATATCCAACATATTTTCAGAAAAGAAAAGCTTGAAGCAGTCAGTAATAGAATTCACATCCTTACTTCTATTTGTGAGACCTTTATCTTCTTGCAAGATATTGCATGATCTGGATTTTCCTGTTTTAGGCGCTACAGTATACCATGTACGATTATCTACATCATAGGACTGCCTATTGCGCAAAGTTTCGTCTTCCAATTGGTCAGGTAACTGCACTTCTTCCTCTTCTAACTCATGAAATGAAAGGCTTCCTTCGTGTATCTCAGCTTCACCATCCGAGAGGTCCTCATCACTCGAGAAATCACTAAATGCCTGCTCTAAAGGTAATTCTTTATCGCACTCGTCATCTGAAGACTGCATCAGAATATCGTAGAGCTCCTTGTCGGACAAACCCTTATTTTTAGACCACATCGCACTTTACTGTTTTTTATTGAAAAAAAATAATGATCTTCACGAGGCAGCGTTAGATAGTAAACTGAATGACGAATAAATAAATTACGACTAAATGCTAACCATGCTATGACTTGTCGATTTGGGGAGTTTTAGCCTATAACGGTTATTCTCAAAACCGGGTCGTCGGTGACCCAGAGGCAGATTTCGGAGAAATGTATTTTTTTTTTAAATTCGTACTAAAAACAATATGCTTATGATATGTTAGGAGAATTCATGGAGGATCACTGAAAAAAAAAGCACGGGGGCGAAAATTATTTGTGGAATTCTATGTTTCGGGTCATCGATGACCCACTTTCGGTAAGGCTAGGGTTAAGATCCTTGTATTGTTTCGGGGTAGGACTAAGTATTTTCGTTAATTCGTTCCGTTTAAGTTAGTTTCCTATTTTAGCAGTTAACACGAACTAATTGTGCTTGTGCCTGACATTGTGAAGTTATGAAAAAATAAATAGAAGATTCCAGTTGAATACGAACAATATGAACATAGAAGATGAAGATGTAGACTTAACAATTTTTGACAAGTCTTCAATCATGGATCCTAGATTTAAAAGCTCCTTGCCTGAAAATAAATAAAAATGATACTTAGATATCTGCAACTGATATTAGAAAGATTTAATAATTCATGCGAAGAAGAGCGAAATGCAGTGAGCTCAAGCGCAATGGATTTTCTCTTTCCGAAACCATCAGGCAGTAAGAAGTTGAAAGATACATTCAAGAGCAAGATCTCGACAATAATAGATGTCCACTAAAATGGTGGGAAGCCAATGAAAAAAAATATCCAAAGTTGTCAAATCTAGCGAGCAAATTCCTGTGGATTCCCGCGACCTCCACACCTTCCGAAAGAGTGTTTTCAATAGCAGGGAATATTGTTCGCGTCAAGAGAAGTTGCCTTTCTTCGGAAAATATAGACATATTAGTATTTTTATATGAAAACATATATGGTGCAACACCCTGCATCAAATTAAAATATTTTGTTTTGTTTGAAAATTAAATAAGTTTTGCTGCAAATTAAACTATTTTTTTATGCTCATAATTTATAAATTTCCCTCGAAATTACTATAACCGGGATATGGGATCCGATTTTAAGATCCGAATCTCAGATCCGAATCTTAGATCCGAGTCTATCGATATGTATCGATACGGATAAATCCGGATCCGAATTTTTTAAAGGATCCCCGACCCGTTTTAGTTTTCAGTTTTTTTAGTACAAGATTTTTATAATTTAGTGTTTAATTAAACGTGCTTTTAATTACATTAACGTGTTGTTAACAAATTCAAAACAAAAATTGGACTTTCGGCCACTAATCGCACTAATGGGCCACCCTGTATATAATAATAAATTCAACTTTCGTTGAAGTAGTTGGTTGAATAATACTTTAATGAAAGCTGATGAAAGTTTGAAATGTTAAATTCCAAAAAAGTAAAGTTCGCTCCGTTCTTATTCAAATTTCAAGATATGACTAGTTTTGTGTGAGATTGTTTGACCTACTATTTTATTGATATCTGTGAATAATGAAATAAGTCAAAAAAATGATAAGAGGCCGCTTCGGTCAGATGAACTTATGGAGTTAGCTGCTAATTTTAGCTTCTTATCTGATGATGATAATGATATAAGCGAGAGTTCCAATGAGAGCAGTGAAGAAGAGGATCACGTAGAAGAAGAGCCGTTTCTGGAAGTGAGTACTGTCCGTCTGAGTATAGAAGTGATCATAGTGAAGATGAAGAATATTTCGTACCCAAGAAAAAGGTAAAATCGATTAATTCAGAAGGAAATGTGATTTCAGTAACTCAGACCCATATTACCGAAACCCATCAAAATACTGAGTGTATATAGTGATCATTTCGAGACAGATAGTATAGAAAATAGTCAAGAAATAGAGGTTCTAGAAGATGAATCGACTGATGAAGCAAGTAATAATATATATTTACGAGAAAGGAGGTTGAAAACTGTTTCAAAACAATCTTCAGCAAGGACTGAACTCCAAAGAGAAACTTGGTTCATATAATTCCTCGGCCCACCCAGGTAAACACAGATAATGTCTCCGGTAGATGCTTTCAAGACATTTGTCTCAAACCCCGTTGTTGATATAATATTGGAACATACTTACACATTACACATTATAAAATAATATGATAACTGTACGAGCTGCAAAATATAAGGTAAAATCCGCTACCAACTCCGCTACTCTCCAGCCACTAAAGATGAATTGTTATCTTTGATTGGGCTCTTGATATCTTGTGGCTGTTATGAAAAATAATCAGTTAATTAATGGCTGTTATGAAAAATTAATCAGTTATTAATCATTACTTCTTTTTGACAAACGAAAATGTGGCATTACCTATAAATCAACAATGAGCAGAGAACGATTTATGTTTTTACTAGACTGTTTAAGAGTCGATGAAAAAGTTACTAGACTTGAAAGAAAAACAATCGACCCATTTGCTGCTATTCCAGATATACTATGGGATATTTTTATAGACAACTGTAAAAATGCTTATGTACCTAGCACGTATATAACAACAGACGAGCAATTGCTAGCTTTTCGCGGTAAGTGCTCTTACCGCATGTACATCCCGAATAAGCCAGAAAAATATAGCCTAAAAATCATAATGATCTGCGACGTAGCTTCCAAATATATGGTAAATGCAGCTCCATACCTTGGCAAGAAGGCAAGTACTGGAGGTTTACCCCTAGCAGAGTATTTTTAGCTATTTTCAGCTAAAATGTTCTTTTGTCAGTAATAAAGTAGCTTATCCTGAAAGTCTGGGTACTGTTGTGAATAGTACCCAGACAAAAGAGTACCTTTTGACAAAAGAACCTTTTAGCTGAAAATAGCCTTGATAAAGACGTAAATAAACGTCGAAACGTCGGCAATTTTTTAAATAAAAGGTTGTTTATTTCCTGGTTCTAAACTTGCTAACGCCATTTCATATAGAACATAAGGACGCAAATCTACTACATTACTTCAGATTTATATGCAGATGTTGAAAAAGAGCATTTTGAGGATTACACGAGGTCCCTGACAAAGCCTAAGCGTATAATTAAAAGAAAACTGCAAAGTGGCTCTGAAGAAGAATTTAGTGATAGGGAACAACAAAATAGCTCGCAAAATAATAAAATTAATCGGAAAAAAACGAAGCTACCACGTCCCCCCAGGATAACTGGCATAACAGGTTACTGTTAGTATTGGTACCTAATTGTTTGTTGTATTTATCTTTTGAAAAACAGTTAAATGCAGTAAGTGCAATTTTGCCTCAGAGGATGCAGTTTGGTGAACAGTTATCAAAATGGTACAAGTAGTGGTACTTATAGGATAGGTTTTTTTTTCAAAACTCGATATTTTTACAGTTCGTGTTTCTTTAAATTACATGAACTGTCAAAATGCAATGCAACTTCACAATCACCACGTATCTAAAAACTGAAGCGAGCTACAAATATTTTGTTTACAGCTTCTTTTGCTTCGCAAAAAAATAACAAGTAATTTGCAAACTGCAACTCTGTGTCTTTATTAATAGGAAGCTCTTAAAACCCTATAAAATTAGAGACACCTTGTATTATATTACAATAATTTGTAATATAATACTAATTACTAAAATACTAATCATAATTATTATTATAATAAATTGTAGGAACTGCTCAACAACTAGATGTCGAAGAAACTGATGATGAGTACCAATACTCATCCCAAAGGAAAAAAACCCTACTAATTCGCCTTCACAAGGGCTCAATTAAGGAAATCACATACATTTTTTAATCCGTCGACTCATCTACCTTCTACGAGCTCTCGTACGAGCCTATGTTTCACACCAAAAGTGCAAACCGAGGTAAAAACCTATAAATCTCCTAGATTCGAGCCTAGATTTCCCTCAACTACCTACAGCAATAATACAGACGATTTGCAAAATAATACTGATAAGCTTTTTAAAATTAAAAAACAAGTTTATAGTTTATATACAATACGTTTTATTTTAAGTTTTAATTGGTTTTTGATATGTGGTTTCCTTTTTACGATAGCATTTCTTATGGAATTGTATTGGAATGGTTTCAACATTTCCTGTAGATTCCATGCACTGTTTATATCTAGGCGTTATGAAAATACCTCTCCTTACATGGACGGGTGGAGACTTGCCTGTCCGCCTATGTGGTCGTGAAGTTTTAAATATATCGGAAATCTTATTTTTTACAAAGACTTTGTTGTCTCAGAATTTAATCAAAAACCCCGTCCTCTTTCAGACCTTACTCGCTTCAAAGCCACCGAATTTAGAACATTTTTAGTGTACGTAGATATTATTGTTTTAAAAGATATTAATGAGGCTATTTATGAGCATTTTCTTTTATTACATGTTATTTATTCATGAGAAGGTTTGAAGTGGAGGCTAGGAATCAGTTTGAGTATTTTCCAAGAGTATGGTTTAGGTGTGGATGATATTTTTGCTGTTTTTGACACACATTCAGACATCATAGATAATTTTATTTCTAAGTTAAATAATCGTTTTCCTTCCATTAAATTTAAGCATGAAATTGAGAACAACGACAGATTACCATTTCTAGATGTATTAGTTATTAGAAATACTAATAATTGCCTGGAATCTATAGGAAAAATACGACCACACGCAGATATATTCCTAATGAATCACATCATAGTATTGAACATAAAATGGCTAGTTTAAATGTCTTAGTTCATAGATTACTTAGTTTTCCACTTTCCAACGAAAGATATGAAATAGAAAGAGATTTCATTAGGAATGTAGCTGAGTGTAATGGATATTCTCCTTCACTAGTTGATAAATTAATTAGAAAACATAGGTATAGGTTAATGATTTCTGAAAATTCGACTTTTCAAGTGGAGAAAGATACGTCTAAATATTTTTCGATACCGTTTGATAGAGAGTTATCCCGTGGTCTAAAAGGAATTTTTAAGAATGTCAATTATAAACTTAGTGCTAATAATAAATTACAACAATTATTAGGTAATCCAAAGGATAAAACACCTCCACTGGAAAGGTCGGGTATTTATGAAATTTCTTGTAAAGATTGTGATCAGAAATATGTTGGGCAAACTAGAAGATCAATATTAACTAGATTTAAAGAACATTTAGCTCAGATAAGATATGGTAGACCAGATAAATCTTGCGTTGCCGAACATATTGTTGATAAGGACCATTGTATAGATCTTAATAATTTAAAATTAATTAAACAAGTCTCAAATTACAGGCAATTAGATGCATATGAAAGCACAAGAATTAATAAATGTAAAGATAGTATGAACAGAGACAACTTTGTTCCTACTACTCTAGAGGCGGAAATCTAACTGTTACGCTCAGTGGGCTCTGACTCGGTTGGCTAGATTTTGCCACACCCACTCGGTACCCACTGGGCGAGTATATAAACGCTCAACTTGTAGATTGTACTTGAGTTTATAATCATCTGCTGATAATGCTAACATGGTTAGCGAAACGCGCGTCCAGTGTAAAAGTAAAAGTGTTTTGGGTGTATTGTGGTAATTTAGTGTTTTTATTTTGCTGTGTAACACCAAAGGTTCCAACCCTCAACTGTAATCACGGGTTGCAAAGCAAAAGAATAGAGAAACGTAACATTTAGTTACTCTACAGCCACGGCCCTTTTTATCTTTAATCAATAATGGCCCACAATAATCAACCCCTGTTATATAAAATGGTGGAGCAGGATGTATTCGACTCTTTGGGCCATATCATGAGCAGCCTATTTGGGCCATATCATGAGACATAGCAAGTATGAATTCCTTCAGCTCATCATCGAGGGTAAAATTGAGGAAAAGCGCGGACCCGGACGACGGCAATGCTCCTGGCTGAAGAACATCAGAGATTGGACAGGCCTGGACTCACATACTTTGCTGAGAAGAGCGAACAATAGAGAGGAATTTGCCATGGTTGTTGCCGATCTTCACTGAATGGAGAAGGCACTTTAAGAAGAAGAAGGAGTTAATACTTTCGGTTTTGCCCGAAAACATATAACGCAGTCATGAACGGTTTTTCTGGCTAAGCTACGACCTGAAATGCCAAAAGTTTTCACGAAGAGAGTATAAAATTTGCTGCGGTCCAGCGTGAAGCAGCTTTACATGTTCTTGCTTGAAAAGAAGTTTTGTAAATATATGTTTTACTGACAGCAAAATGGGGTGCTTTTTATTGTAAGGTAAAACCGAGTGTTTTAGTCTGCCACCGACTCTTATTATGCCATCATCGTCTAAGAACGGTGAAAGCTTTGTGATTGTACCTTTGAGTTTATTCGGAGCCTTAGCTAAAATATTTATTTCATCTTGAAACGATTCACGTTGTGAGATATTTACTAATATAAACAAAGCCATAGTGATTTCCTTGCAGAGCAATGGACCGTATTTTTTATTAGCCCCTTTTTTAACACAATTTTCTTTAAATCCTAAGCAATAAGAAATAACGCGATTTAATCTAGATATATCGGAATATTTCTCAAAAAGCGAAAATGACGAATTTGATATCTCGGCATGTAAATGCACGGTGTTTTTAAATTCGGGAAGCTCGCTTTGCAAGTCTGGCAAAAATGGCCAAGTAGATTCATCACGTTTTAAGAAAGTGGGACCGTTCTAATAGAGATCAAGTACCGCTAAATCTTTTGGCATAACTCCGCGAGATACTGGGTCAGCAGGATTTTCAGAAGTCGGTACGTGTCGCCAATTCCGCGCTTCTGTGAATTCTTGAATTCTTGCAACGCGATGTTTGCCAACCTAAAACTGCTGTGGAGTCTGACCAATAAACTGCACGATCTATGCAAGTATTCAATGAAGTTTTAACTTTCTCAACAAGTTGCACCAACAAAAGTGCAGCCATCAGCTCTAAACGAGGCACTGTTTGTGTTTTAAGGGGGGCAACCTTTAACTTCGCGCAAATCAACTCGATTTCGAAGACTCCATCGCTATTTTTACTTCTTGCATAAACACATGCCCCCATGGCACACATTGATGCATCTGCGAAACTTTGAATCTCAATAACATTTGAATCTGAACACGTGACCTATCGCTTGATTATTAATGATCTTAACTCATTATGAAATTGTAGCCATTTGCTGTGCAAATAATTTGGAAGACTTTTATCCCACGACAACTTTTCGGACCACAATTCCTGCAGGATTAGCTATGCTATTATAATTGAAGGGCTCAAGAGACCCAAAAGGGTCGAAAATCTGTGAAGTTTCTGACAAAATTAAACGTTTAGTGACATTTTTACTTGCAGAATCATTGATACTGTAAGCTAAGCTGTCGGTTTGAGCACTACAAATTAAACCTAACGTTTGTGATTTTCACGCGCGCCGAAATCAATAATATCTAATTTTTCGTTGAATTGAATGTGCGCCAAAATTTCCGGAGAATTAGAAATCCATTTTCTTAACTCGAAACAACCCTTTTTCAAATATCGTGTTACCTCATTGGCTATAAAAATAGCATCATCTATGGAATCACCTCCGCTAAGAAAATCATCAACATAAAAATGATTTTTAATAACATCAGAAATTACTGGAGATTCTTCACTACATTCCAAACCAATGTGGTGTAGGCATCTTATGGCCAAAAAAGCAGCTGCTGACATTCCGTATGTGATAGTTGCTAATTCAAAAATTTCAATTGGACTATCAGGGTTTTCGCGCCATAAAATACGCTGCAGACTTCGCTGATCAGGATTTACTAAGCACATGCGGTACATTTTCTCCACGTCTGCCACTATAACGAAGTTATATTTTCTGAATTGAGTAAGAGCAGAGAATAAATCGGGCTGAATAGTTGCTCCTACTCTCTGTATATCATTCAAAGAATAGCCAGAACTAGTGACGCATGAAGCGTCAAAGACTACGCGTAGCTTGGTGGTAAGGCTACTCGCCTTATTGCCTTATTGCCAGTCGGTACTTGAGTCGATCTCAGGCTTGAGCATGGCCTTAGATGAAAAATGCGTACTATAGACGAGACTTGGTCAAGAAAGCGACAAACTGCGCATGTGTAACTTGAGACGTACTCAAGAACGGCAAGCATCTTGCTTAAGTATTGCCACAGAGCAATATTTGGGACAAAAACCACAGCTTAACAATTTATTTTCTTTGTTGATTTGTTTAGCTGTGCTTTTTTTAGTGCTGCGACGCCGACGCGTCATTCTTACGCCAACTGCCAAACCGATCAGTTTGTTTGTGGTTTGTTTCCAGAGTTGTTTCTCAAATTTAGTTGTCTGTTGTCTTTAGTTGTTTTTTATTTTACCTTTATTTCTATTCTGTGTGTTATAATGAGTTTAGGTAAGTTCAAGATTTTAGAAAAGAATATTTTATTATAGCATTATAATTTTGTAGCAAGTGAAAGGACGCCATACACCAACCATGAAAAGTTGTTGTTGGCGAATCTAGTGGACAAGTACAAACTTGTGCTGGAAAACAAAAAAACTGATGCCAGCAACCTCCATCAGAAGCAGCGCGCGTGGGACAAAATTGCTGCGGAGTACAACGCCCAGGCCACAATGATTACCGTCAGACGCACTGCTACACAGCTAAAAAAGCTGTGGAATAATTTAAAATAAAGGTACCTTTTTTGAAAATTGATTAAAGTTTATATTTATTACTATATGGTTCTCTTTGTATACTTTATTATGTTATAACCTTTTCAAAAACTTTAATTTTTGTAAAAAATGTTATAGTCATAATAAATGCAAATATATTTATATTTTTTAGGAAAAGGAAGGCTAATACGGAGGTGAAATACCAGCGCCTCGTTACTGGTGGAGGTCCAGAGCCTTCCGAGTCACAGGACCCTGTGATGGAAGCAGTTAGCGTGGCGGCACCACATGCAGATGTGATGATGTCCTGTAAATGGGATATGACAGGCGTCTACGAGAGACAGCAAGCAGAGGAAACATCACATGCTACAATGCAAAGTACGTTTGTTATATTTTCTTTGAAACCGATAATCTTTTATAGAAATTTTCTTTTATTAACTTATTAATTGTAATACATTTGTCTAATTATTATATTTATTTTTAGACTATGAAGTCATTGAAGTGGTTGTGGAAAAAGGGGAGGAACCAGAACCAGAACCAGAGGATATTTATCCCTCCACTTCTGGTAATTCTAAAGTAAGTTATGCTTAGCTTGATTTTAATTTAATTTGTTTTTTTAGGGTTGAGCATTAAAAAAATGGTCGCTGCTACTCCAAAGACCACCTTCACAGCTGACCATCCTTTATGTGCTGCCAAACAAACGGCTAGTGAAACTGGTAAATAAATTATATACAATATTCTCGTATGGTCTTGATTTTAATAATTGTGTTACAGGGCGACAAGGTCGGGCTGCCCAAAAAGAGGCAGACTTAAGGATGAGGAAGGTGGAGGAGAGCCCTCAACAACAACTCCCAACTACATAGTGTTCGACAAAAAATTGAGGAGGAAAACATGCAGGCAGCTGTTCTAAGGAGAAAAGTAGAGGAAGAAAACCTGCGGACAGCCACAGCATTGCGAAAAAAGGCTGAGATAGAGGCTGAGCTAGCTATGCTTCATATGGAGTTGTTTAAAAATAAAAACATCTAAATAGATTACCATAAAACTTTATTGTTTTATTTTAATTAACAAGTAATATTATAGTACTAATAATATTAAAAATCGAACAATGTGACTATATTTCTATCATCATTTTAACCACAAAAATTTAAACACAAATTAAAGTAATGCTTATAACATATTTATAAAAAGCATAAGGAAATTTTAAAACCAACACATTCTTACTACAATTAATATTTAAAAAAAAACACTGGTTGAATATACTACCAGTGCTATTAGCAAACAAAAATAATACTAAAAATGATTTTGTATAAATTCATTTCTAAAACCTAACCCTAACTGATCCAACGGAACATTAATATTGCCAATATCATCATCTATATTCTCAGCCACCTCGTCCTCAAAAATAAAGTTGTCTTTACATTTTACACCTAAATTATATAAAGTTGCTGTAGCACAAATTATTGCTTGGGTTGTTTCTAATTTTGTTGTCAGACCTCTATACAAGCATGGAAACCTTCGTTTATAAACACCAAACACACGTTCAACAATGTTTCTTGTACTCTTGTGAGCTCTGTTGTAGCGTTCATCACGTACATTACCTGAAAGCCACAAATTAAAAATAGATATTATAGGCAGATCTCTATGATAGAATTACTTGCCTGGATGAATTACTGGTGTCAGCAAGTATGGTCGACAAGGATATCCATTATCCCCCAAAAGAAAGCCACCCATTTGTCCTCTTTCACAAAATACTCGAAGAGCACTTCTATCGAAGATTACACTGTCATGAGCTGATCCGGGATGTCTGACAACAATATCCAACATTTCCATCTGAGGACCAACTGCAACCTAAATTAGTACATTTTTTAAAAATAATTAATAATAATTAATGTTTCTGACTCACTTGAACATTCAAGGAGAAGATGCCTTTGCGATTTCTGAAAACTTCAGCATTATCGCCTCCTGGGCTAACGATTTTTATGTGTGTACAATCTATGCATGCTGCCACCCCAGGAAATCCAGCTATTGCCTGAAACAATCGTACGTTTCGTCGCTTTTGTTCTAAGCCAGGATGCTGAATATATTCAGGCAAAAGCCTACATATTTCCTTCGAAATCATTCTTATTCTAAGGGATACCGATTGTTGACTTATTCCTCGTAAATCCCCACTAACCATTTAGAAAATTAATATTGATTATAAACATTGATTATACAAAAAAGACCACTTACCTGAAAATTTCCTGTTCCATAATAGCGTAAACAAGTTAATAGCTGTATTAAGGGTGATATGGGTAAGCCTCGGTTATTAACTCGTACTAAACGATGTATAATGCGTGGTAGTATAACCTCCAGAACAATAGCTTTTGAAAAACGGTATCGGTATCGAAAATCTTTGTCATTGTAAAAGTCAATACGATTTTCGGCATCTCGAATATACCTTTTGGGCACTCTTTCATTTTCGACTACCTCTTCCAAATAGTCGAGATACTCTCGGAAATCGTCAAAATCGTGACTTGATCCATTTATAATTATAACAAAAACGGCAAAACACAATCAAAATCAGAAACACACAGGAAAAGGCAGACAAAAGTAAAAAGACGAGTTGGAAAATTATAAAAAATTGGTTATGTTTACGCAGTGTTTCAAATGTTACATTTCAAAAATCACTAGAATTGTTACTAAAAAAAACAAATGTTACTAGACATCGCTTGCTCAAACTTTGCTTCGCCGAGAATACCCGAAGGTTTGACTATAGTAGAGACGGAATCTCAAGTCTTGAGTAAGGCCTGGCTAAGTTCGACTCAAGTCTGAGATTGAGATCGGACTATAGGTACGGCCATTAGTAACACCATGATGAGGTAGAAAATATGACTTTCGCGAATCTTCATCACCGACCTTTGACATGTGCCCCAGCGCGAGATATTCGTTTATAAATTTGACATATTCTTTTTAAAATCCGGCTTACATTTAAATTTACGCTCTAAAGATAAAAGTCGCTTTTTCGCGTTGTAATACGAATCTCCACGAACCTCAGGATCCTCCTTCAAAGGAATCGTCACAATAAATTGACCGGAGTCGGTTCGATGAACCGTTTCTACAAAATGTGATTCACAATTTTTTTCTTCTTGGGACAAGGGCCTTGAAGTAGAAACTTTCTCGATCTCCCAAAATCGCGAGAGTTGTTTGTCAATATTAAAATTAGTAAAAAATTATACTGGACAATCTTTGGTGACTTCAAACTAACAGAACCAGAGATGATCCACCCTAACTTGGTTTTCTGCAGAATAGCACCGCGGTTTGCTTGTTTTACTTGCCCTACACATATGAGATACCAAAATTGATCAGCGCTTAAAAGAATATCTATTTTCCCCGGCTTACAAAAGTCTAGATCTGCCAGTTCTAAATGGCCAGGAATTTGCAAAGAATTGTAGTCAACAGGAAAGTTGGGTAATGTACCAGCAATCTGAGGCACTACTAGACATGAAACTTCGGTACTAAAATTGTTGTGACATGAATGAATAACCAAAGTAGTTTTGTGTTTAACTGTTGACTCGGCTTGATTTAAACCACAAACCTTTATATCAATATGCGATAAATCTAGATTTAATCTTTTTGCGAAACTGGCAGTAATAAAGCTACTTTGACTCCCTGAGTCTAGTAAAGCTCGTGCTATATGCATTTTGTTATTATTATCAAATATACGAACGGAAACTGTTGATAACAAAACCTGATTTTTGAAAATTGAGTTTTGTGCGGAACAAACTATACTTTCCGAATTTGATTTCTCCTTTTCCTGACTATCTTTGATAGTGTTAGAAAAATGCAAAAGGTTGTTGTGACGACCTTTACAAGTTTTGCAGGAGCTAGAACGACATTGTTTTACTAAATGTCCCGGTCGCAAACAATTAATGCACAACCTCTTCTTTTTTACGCGATTCAGACGGTCGTTGACGCTCAATTTTAGAAAATCCGCACAGTCCTGGTAACCTTACATTACTAGTCAAACCCGCGCCGGTGGCAGACCTTACGGAATGCACACTACCTCCCGCTTCGCTCGAATAACTAGGATCGGCACCGGCGGCGGCGACGGCGGATTTGTTGCGAAACTTTTTGGCTTTTCCCAGAACGGAATGAAACTCCCGGTCGAAGTTCTCCCTTTCTTTAAATTGCGCATCGATATCGGGCGAAAATTGATCAATTTCCATCTGTATTTGTTCAAACTCGTCTAGTACAGATGCAAATCGTTCAATTCTTTCTTCTAATTCATTAAGTAAATTAAGCTGTGTGATGAGGAAGTCCGGAAATTGAGCTATTATTTGGTCAACAAATTTAGAAAAAATAGTTACTTTTGCTTTGATACTACCCCGTTTACGAATTAGCTTATCTAATTCTTGCATGATTATTTAGCGATTGAGTAAAATGCGATTAAAAAAAACTACAATTACGTGCACAAATTGTGACCGCCCTGTAAAAGGATATCAGGAGTATCGATAATAATGTGGGAAACTAGGAAAATAAAGGATTACTCACTTTGGCGTCTTCTTCTGGGCAGGCACTTATGCATACAAAATGGCGACCAAACTTTCATTAATTGCTTTTAATGACAAAAGATCCGGCTCGATGGACCAAAATATGTTTAAACTTTGTTGGTGGATTGTATCTAACTTTTAGATGTGTACTAGTGTTTCCAAATGAAACAAGAAATCGAAAAACAAGTGTTTATTAAAAAATAAACAGTACAAAAAAATTAGGAATACTGCGTTTTTGTCAGCCGCCTACAAAAACAAAGATCTATCTCTCTTGTCGCCGATCGTCCCTCTAGACGACGACGCACAGTGCTTCGAACGTATGGCTCTAGAGGACAAAAATGCAAAACTTCTCTTTTATTGTAGGCAATTTATTCAAACTAGGTTTATTTGACACAAATGATGAGTACTCTCATTGTACTAAATGATGATGTTCTTAGTCCCACGTTTATGAAAAAAATCTTATAAATAATAAAAATGTTGGAGCTGTGTTCCATCTAAGGAAATAATAATTTATAGTATGAAAACGGTGTCAGTATTAAATAAATCCCTGTGATAAAAAATAATTGAAATAACATTAGAACATGATTTCTACAATATAAACGTAAATATAAGATAAAAATGTTTTTCTTTAATGAAAAAGAAACATTAATGTTATATTTAATTAAAAAAAAAGTTAAGATACTATAAATTTACTTTAGGACAACAAAATGCATAGATCGTAACTACTCTGATTCAGAAGAATCACTGCTGACAGAATCTTCTAAATTTATAGTATCCAAATCACAGGTAGAAGAAGTATCCTCACATACTCGTATAAGATATTTCTGTACATCATTTTCTAATATGTTACTTTTTCGCGTTGTTACTGTTCTTTTTGTTGGTATGAGGGGTTCAGATGTTAATAGTTACCTCTTTAATAGACCATATCCATATATTATTTTTTCCTTTTTTTGGGTATGAGGTTTTATAATAAATTGAAAGATGGAAACTTTTTTTATGCGACGTTTCGCTCCAACATAGTGGGCTTTTTCAGGCACAAGAGGTGTCTCATTTGACTGGAAGGTTCATCAATATCTAATAAAGAACACATTTTTTGAAATACAAATAATTTTGAGTTCTTGTCCTTATGATCAAGCCAAGTATTAACCAGATCGGCATTGCTTATCAATTTTACTCCATCTGAAAAGTATTATAAAATAAAGTTCGTCGCAAGCAGAAGCAGGTGAACTATACAAAAATTAAAAGTGTATGAATATGACAACAAAAATATTCAATAAATACGATATGTTTTGATATGTTTTTTTTAAATGCCTTTTTGAAGTTTGAAAACGTAAAATTTTTATACCCATTTAAGAATCATCTTAAAAAATAAATAAAAACTAAACAATCACGAACTTGTTTAGAAATAAATTTAAAGTACATACCTTGTTTAACAATATCCATAGTGGCTTTCAATTAAGTAGGTACCGTTTAACTCCATAATATACAGAACTACTATGAATGTTATTCTTTTCACTGATAAGATAATGATCGCAAAATTTATTTTTAGTGAAAATATTTGCTAACAAAAAACGCTGTTTATGAAAAATAATATACGGGATGGTTGTAATAACCTACGAACATTGCTATAAGTATAAAATTACATATTCAGATATTAGTAAATTTTAACTTTTTTTTCGATTTTTGTCCATGGGACGAAGCACTGTGCGACGCCACGCTGCTTTCAGGGGAGGGGCACCGTGTTGCCGTTGTGCGACATAAATATTGTTTCCCTTAGAAATTACAACAATAATTTTATGTATACGGTATCAGTATTCCATTGTTAATTGTTATTGCCTTATCCGGCATCATACTGTTATTAAAATAAATAACATTATTGTAAATGCTGAAAAGGAAAATTTCATAGTAGGGCAAACATTTATGTCATATAAATCTTTTTATGTTTATCCTTTCGAATCAAAAGATCTATACATTTGCGTTGTATAAGAACTGCTACCAGAGATGGAACTATTTCCCCTTAGCAGTGTGATTACGAAATGTATGTTGTTTCCTGTTGATCTACCCCACAACATTAATAAATGTTCATCACATCATTTAGTGCGTTGCAGTGTATAAATAATTTTAAATTTTATTAGTATAATTATTTTTTTATTTAAAAGTAAAAAGTTTTATATAGTTTGTTGTTCTTTGAGGTCATACATCTAGCCATCCGTTCCTTGCCGCTTTTATGTGGTTACAGTGTGTGGTTCTCAGGCACAGTGGAGTTCACTCAAACAGACAATAGAACGGAAAGTAAAGAGCCATTTATTTTCGATGTCTAAAATACGTTAAAAACGTCGTCGTCAAGGGTTAAGTTAAAGGCTAAGCCGACATTAATTCTACGCTGAATTCGACGTCGATTTTACTATGACATTTTGATGTTGTGTCGACGTCGAAACGACCATTGAATATAAGTCTTTTCACGTCGATAACCTACGTAGATTCGACGTTATATTAACGAACCCTTACTGCTGCCGGAGAAGAAACACCGGAGTTATGGGATTCTAAAAATACAAATTACCACTTGAGGCATAATAAGTTTGACGCATGGAATGAAATTTCACAAAACATAGAAATTAATGTAGAATCGGTAAAAACAAAAATTACATCTCGTTTACCTTCATTAAGAAGAGAAAAATGGAAAATGAAGAATTCCATTGGCACGGGAAAGGGTAAGACAATTATATTACTATGTAACCCAATATAATTCAGTAATATAAAGAGAAAAAAACGGTGGAAAGTACAGACAAAATTGGCATAGACCTGAAAATAAATACAGATCTTAAAAATGAGGCCATTATTTGCAAAAGTCTCTAATCGACATAATTATCAATTTCATTCCTACATGGTATCAATTCAAAAATAAAATAGACCAGGATAATCTCATACTAAATTGTTGGCGAGGGAATAAGCCGAAGAGGGGAAAATCCAATCACGCTCAAGTGTCAATTCAATACAATGTTCGTTTAATTAAGTGCTTTAGTATTAATTTTAGTGCAAACCAAGTGCAAAGGATACTTCGTAAATTTGTGAATAAGGGAGAGCTTCCAAAAGAACGAAGAGGTGGAGACAGAGTAGGTTGCAAGAACGATGAAAAACGTAAACACATAAAAAACTTTATTCAATCCTTTTACAGAACATTTGCAGATTCTCTATTGCAGGAGCAAGACTAGCTCTCGTGTATATCTACCATGCGATTTAAATTTTAAAAAGCTTTATAGGTATTACCAACAGCGTGTTTCTGAAAATTTGCACGTGAACGTCAGTTATTTTAGAAAAATTCCGAAGGCAAATTACAATATTGCATTTCGTCCCTTAGCTAACAACACCGCTCAAGTCGAAAATTGGCGGTTTTTACATTTTAATGCCATTGGATGAAGCTGCGCATTGCGCGTCGAACCATTGGTCTCATGAAATAGATTTCGGCCAATCAGAAGCCGTAATTCAAAAAATAGTGACAGCGCTCAAGTCGGTTGGCGTCGCAACACAGAATTGCGTCCATTTATTAAAGGCAATAGCTTTCTTTCATTTCTTAAAATATCCAAAACCAAACACTGTGTCATTCTCTTTTGACTGTCAGAAGAACTTGGCATTGCCTCTATTACCAGACCAAGCTGCATATTTTAGCCAGCACATCAATTATAACAACTTTACCATAGTATTTGGAATGTCCAAAACGTAGTTAACACCTGCGAATGTATACGCATATCTATAGACAGAAGTTGATACCCAAAAAAATGTCAACACAATAGCCTCGGCAGTTAGGCATGCTTTATGCAGGCATACATTTGACCCCTCTGTCACAAACATTAACTTGTTCGCTGATGGGTGCGGCGGGCAAAACAAGAAAACCACTATGATGACAATGTTGGCATACTGGCTTCTTAAAGAATCTCCAGAAAACCTTAAACAAATTGAGCTCACATTCCCAATTTAGGGCATTCCTTTATTACGCCAGATACAGTGTTCGGATGAATAGAGAAGGAAGTAAAAAAAATCCTGTTATTGTAGAACCCATCCATTATGACGAAATAATAATAAGCAATCATGCTACAGTTGGAAGAATAGGTGTTGACTTGGGTGTACAGGGTGGGTCAAATTCGACGCTTTTAAATGGAAACACCCTTTTCTATACGAGATAGACCAAAACTAATATCGGTGTCTGGGGCTCAATTTTTGTCAAAAACATGATGGTGAAAACCGCATATCGATATCTGTTACCGTTTCGGAGTTACGGGGTGTTTTTCAAAAATATGCATTTTTAACAAATCGTTGTAACTTTTTTGCTATGGAAAATTTTGTATTTCTATGAAAACATTTCCAAAGCACCTTTTTACGTAGAATCTAATGGTTTAAGTATAATTTTTTTAACATTAATAATTTAAGAATTATCAACAGAAAGTTTGATTTTTTATATGAGACACCCTGTATATTTTTAATTTATTGAAAACAATTTAAAATTACCTTTCCAAAAATATAACACACTTAATATTTTGCTCGATTCCTCTTTGAGATATAGAGTATATAAAAATTAGCCCGCTTTAAATAAGTAGGCTTTGAACGGCACCGGCTGTAATGCAAAAAAATTCTAGCTGTGAGAATCAATTAAAACGAAAATAATATTTGCTATGAGAGATGCAGAATTTTATAACAATTTAAAGTATAATTAACCAACATCAACACATTTAAACTATATCTAATAACAATAAAAATAATCGACGGCCAACGGCTGGGATCTTGGTTAGCTATTCAATTATTCTTGAAATTGCCTGCAAAAATTTGCTGATAACTTCAGCGTTCTGTTAGGTTAGGTTAGGTTAGGTTGTAGTATATTGGAAAAATATGTTTTCGAGTTCCATTAAGGGCATATCATCAATAAGGGGTCCAAAGCCTACCTACTTGTAAAAAGAGGCGAACTTTTAAAAATTCTGTATTTCGAAGGGGATAATAACAAAATATCAATTGCGCTATATTTTTGGAAAGGTAATTTTAAATTCTTTTCAATTAATTAAAAATATAGAGGGTGTCCCAAATAAAAAATCAATTTTTCTGTTGATAACTCCTAAATTATTCATTTAAAAAAAATATACTTAAACCATTAAATTCTACATAAAAAGGTGCTTTGGAAATGTTTTCATAGAAATACAAAATTTTCCATAGCAAAAAAGTTACAGCGATTTGTTAAAAATGGACATTTTTAAAAAACACCCCGTAACTCCGAAACGGTAACAAATATTGATGTGCGGTTTTCACCATCATGTTTTTGACAAAAATTG